TGTCTCATAAACAACGACTCCTTTTTAATAACAAAACAGATTTATTTAAACTAAAATATTACACTATAGTCACAGCCCCAATTATAGCAACCCTACGTTATTTCACCAGAAAATGAACAATTATCGTATCAACCCCTAATTCCCCACAACACACCTCTCCCATCCGATCCAAAAAGAAGGATCCACGTGTCCAATCGATATACCCCGTAACAAACTCCCGACACTCATGCAGAATACAAACGAAGAGAAAAAATCCGTGGGAATTACGCTCGTTATACTTGAAAACCCATGCTCCGTTAACGCGGTATACTCTTGTAATTGCTCCCATCCATCACGGGGCAGCCGCGAAATAACAATCTCGCCCTTAGAGCGAAATAAGAAAAAAGGGAACCCTCGGTAATGCCGCAGAATGTATCGCCCAAACCTCGAAAGCAACTGTGCTCGAAGCCCGATAATCGAGCCGATGTATCGGGGCACGGGCAACGAGCAGGCAAGCTGTAAAAGTGGCGACCCAACGGTTCGACCCTAATTGCAATTATCGTCATCTCTCTGTTTCTTCCGATTCTCCGGCGCTCGCGGGATCGCGATTATCCGCTCCTATTTATCGGACGTGGCCCGGTAACGAGGAACGGAAGATCACGTGTTAGATATTACATTCGACATCCTCGAATCCGGTGTTCCGGAACGAAATCCAAGCGGCAGGGAAGCTGATACGTTATCAGAAAAGAGAGGATTCCGCTGGGAGTGACGTCAATAAGAAGCCGCCAATCGGGGCTCTCTAATTATCGAGAAGGGGAGCCGGGATATTAGCTGCGGGATTTACGTGACAGCGGCAGGATCTGGCTGCCTCGATCCGGATCATTCAGCCTGTGACGGAGGGACAAAGAGAAAGGGTAATCGGTGTGTACCGTGTCTTTGAACCCGTTCATCAGGATGAGCGTGCGTGGCAGGTGTGAGTACAGGGAGTCAACCAAGTGTTTATGGTTATTGACCGATATAGTGCGTTCGCGATCAGGATGTCGATGTTGGACAGGCGTAAGCAGAGGCGATCCTCGTATCACGAGAGTGTTTTCAGTGAATTTTCGTCCACTATGGTTAACACTTTGACTACCATGCAATTTTTATATAGTACGCTCAGGGGCTCACGATAAAATTTCCATTTTTCTTGGGATATAATGATGAATTATCAAACAATATCGCAAAGATATAAAAAATGGTGGAAATTATTAATATTTTCTATTCAAAGTTCTCCATTTATTTGCGTTCCTCGAGTATTCAAATACAAATTTAAAAATGACACTGGTGACCACCATGACCCCCTTGAGGAAACAAGCATGATGATCACCGTGGTAGTCGTGTTAATAGAGGTACTGTCACGATATTAACAGTGTAATACGCATAATAAATTTTAGATTGGAAATTTTAATTATTAGATTCATAAAACAAGAAAACAAGAAAAATAAAAAAGAGATAGTGGAAATTATTAATATTTTCTATTCAAAGTTCTCTATTTATTTACCTTGTTCGAGTATTCAAAAATTGATTAGAATAAACCAAATATAAATTTAAGAAATTAGTATCAGTGGACACCGGTGACCACCATGGACCTACTGGGAAGGCAAACACCGTTCACTGATGATCACCGTGGCAGTCTATGTGTTAACGCGTTGAACCTGGCGTCGGTCCCTGAGAACCGACAGTATCCAAATTAAAAAAATAAATATTTATTGAAACACTCTAAACGAAAACATGCTTTGGTTTTGCATGTATTACAAAACGTGACGACTTTCTTAGTCAAATTTCTGGCTGTCTTGTGTCCCAATAGCGTTGAATTTTTGTCTTAACCCGACCCGAGCTCAACGTGTTAATAAATTCCGGTTCACTGGATTATTTAGAAAGAATTCTCCGGTTCCTTTGTAGAATTCTATCTTGGAAAATTCAATATTTGTAATAGCATCTTTCTATCAACGCACACGTTCACCACGCGTTGTTAATTTATGCGATACGACACGGTAGAGGTTTAAAATATATCTGATTATTTTAAATAGCATAACTAAAGAGGAAATAAAGTCAGAGACGACAAGTAACGCAAACAGAAATATTTCGCGTAATAACCGCGCGAATATTGTAATTACGAATACGATTATTCGCTTTCCACAGTTTTCTACGCATGGGTAAATCCACATAATACGATCATACGGAAATAAACTGAACTGAATTGGACATGTTGGCGGAAATTACGTGTGCACAACGATAGACAACGCGTGTAATTAATTATCTGTTAGTAGAATTGTAATAAAAACGAATTAAAGACGAAAAGGCAATATAAGTTTCCTATAGCATGTATATAATATTTCCCGTATAGCATAGAAAATGAAAAACATAGAAAACACGGTGAAAATAAATTTGAAAAATTCCATTTGGCGAAATGAATTAAAGAGATTCGATAAATTCAATATCAAAACCAATGTAGAAAAATTTCAAATTCAATTCCTAGTTTCTGCAGTATTTCGGCAAACATCATATTAATTATTACAGCGTTAATTGTGGAGGAAAATTTATCTACCTCTCGTCTCAATATCGCCCTTCCTCTGTATCATATTATCAATTAAAACTCCGCGGTTTGCAACAGAACAATACCGCGAATTCTAAATAATTTAATTACTTGCTCCAATTAAAAATGATATTCCTTGAAAAGATATATTTATTTAAAAGCTTGCTCGTATTTATTACCTGCGTGCATTTTAATACAACCATACCTTTATCCCGAAAATCACACGGCTGTTATTAAACGAGAAATTCGTCGTTTTGAAAATGCTCGACATTTTTCAGACATCTCCCAGGCCTCTTCCCCGTTTCTCTATCTCATTAACGCGCCGCGATTCGTAATTTACCAAAAGCCGCTTTAAACCATTTTCCTAGCCACGCGGCTCCCTTTCACGTCCACGAGACTTTAGTTGTAGTTAAAAAATTCAACTTCCTTCTCGAGATATAATTTGACGGAGGCGGAGCATCCGCAATTTTGAAGCAATTTACGGAGCACGCCGGGGACATTTACTTTTTTACCTCGAGTGGCTTCAGTCGCATGGCGACCTGAGAGCTTGTAAGAAGCGACTGCAATGCGACCAACGCGAATATTTCCTTCGTTCCATGTATATTTAATTCATGCGAACGCCGCAAGTGGTTTCGACGGACAGCGAAACGAAATTCGCGAAATTCGGCATCGGTTGGGAATTTAGGCGAATTATGAAACGACTCTACTTTAGCAAATTTCCATACCGACTTGTAACACGATCCTTCGAGGTGGTTTAAATGACACTTGTCAAAAATGTTGCTTGACACTTTTTGACTGACACGCATTGTTTATGTGATACGCTCAGGGGTCACGATAAAGCTTCCATTATTCTTAGGATATAATGATGAATTATCGAACAATATGGCAAAGAAAAAGAAAAAAAAATGGTAGAAATTATTAACACTTTCTATTGAAAGTTTTCTATTTATTTACGTTGTTCAAATTTTTTAAAAATTGTTAGAATAAGTAATTTAATATCGCTAGACACTGGGGAACACTAAGGGCCCCACTGAGAAGACAAGCGCCGGTCATTGATGACCACACCGTGATGGTCAACGTGTTAATTAAGTTTCCATTATTCTTAGGATATAATGATGAGTTATCGAACAATATGGCAAAGAAAAAGAAAAAAAAATGGTAGAAATTATTAACACTTTCTATTCAAAGTTTTCTATTTATTTACGTTGTTCAAATTTTTTAAAAATTGTTAGAATAAATAATTTAATATCGCTAGACACTGGGGAACACTAAGGGCCCCACTGAGAAGACAAGCGCCGGTTACTGATGACCACACCGTGACAGTCAACTTGTTAATTAACACTGTTAATATCGTACATAAGATATTTCAGATTGGAAATTTTAATTATTACATTCATAAAACAAGAACGTTTTGTGTGACCAAAAGAATACGTGATACAGTGATCCCTTAATATGCCAAAAGGGGCTAATATACAATAGTAAGTAAATAGTCAACAACATTCGTTTTCGAGTTGAAATGAAAGATCTATACTCTGCCTCGTTTAGGTGATTCATCGATATAGTGATAGAATGTTACGAAGATGCCTTGAGAGATTTGAACGAAGATTGTATAGGGGGTCCTCCCCAACAGTTGACGAAGGTGAGAATGATGGTCGCTACAATCGTAACGTGTACGTGTAACACAATTTCACATGAATGTGTGTTATGGGAAAATATCTAATTTCGTTAGTGACGTTTTCAAAATTGTTGGTATTTAATTATTTCTATCCCCATATTCCACTTTACAAAGTCTGCCCCCCCCCCCCTCTATAATAACGGGGGTTATATGATTTGTGGTTCCTATGGTTCTACCGTTTAGCATCTTGATGACCATCTTGCTACGATGGGTAGCATATAAAATAAAATAGATATACTAAATTCCATGCTCGAATATTCCAATTTAAAATAAAAATAATATCTCTTCGGATGTTCGATTCCCTGTATTTATTTTGCAAATGGGTAACGAAACAAAGGGGATAAACCAGTGGCAATTTTGCACGAAGAGAACAGTGGATTAACCCTTTGCACTCGACGATTTTTTGGCCAAAGAACGAAAGAAGTACAAGTTGAAAAATTTTCTGCTCTAAAGCTGACGACACCTTTTTCAGCAATAAATAAGAAATCGTATAATAATTAACACGTAGAATTATTTAATTTTGATATCTCGCACACTGTTACATTATTTCAAATTTGATATATTAATTAATATCGAGCTTCGAAATTTTATCAAATAGCCACTGATTTTATCAAAGGCGTCTCTCGAGTGCAAAGGGTTAAACAAATCCTAGGTCAAAGTTTGCCGGACTTTGACGAAAAAATGATCGAAGTTACTGTCGAAATAACGATAGAAGCAATAGCTTCTGAGTATGAAAATGCTTTCTTAAAATAAATTTATCAGAGAACTTACCGGAGTAAAACAGCAGCCCGTTCGGTTGTCTCGTTTTAAATTGCAAGCTGATGGATTCCTGCGTGCTCAGAATCGGGCTTCCTTTGCTCAGGTCTATCGTGAGGTACTCTGTCCCTCTGAAAGAGGCTTCGGATGGCGCTTTATCTGCAACGGATGGAAATTCACGGTTAACCGAGGAATAAATAAAAGCTGCGGAAAGTATTACAGGCGTAAACCGTAGAACAAACGTACGTGATGAAATTGCACGTTAAAAGATCACAACGCCCCGTGGAAAAATACGGCTGAGCGTGTGTAGGGGTACGCAAACATACGTGACTGGGGAGTGGGCGAAAAGTTGACGCAGGTTTGCATATTCGAACTGCGATGTTTAAATTTTGTAAGTCAAGCGTGCTTATAGTTCGCGTATTTGCCAAGCAATAAACAAAACGACGAAACGCGATATTTCAATTTGTATCGAATTATACGCGATTGTTTTATTAACGGCGCAACGTTGTTTCCCTTTAATAAACGATATTTATCAATTTACGTTTTGTTTTATGCACCGGCCTGTGTGTAAAGTCATTATCGAATCGTTGCACGAAAATGATGCAAAATTACTCCGTGTAGTATTAATTTCGCGATACGTGACGCTGTTACAGTCTGCATATATGTACGCTTTACTTAAAAGCGGAAGGGAACGAAAATGTAAAATTTCTGTACACACGAAAGTTCCATTAGGAAAGTAATTCAGTTTTATGGATTGTGCTTGTACCTGGAATTTCTATCTTGGTATATAGCTGATTAAATTTTACCCTGATTGATGGAAAAGTTCCTTTCTACCTCGCACGTGCTCATTGGTGTTCCCTATTTTTCCTAAAATCTGCCATATGAAAATTCGCTGCTGTGTACTGCGACGAATTACAGCACAACCGAATATGAATTTTAACTAACGCCGAGTGCGGTGAAACGCGACTTGGACTTCGCCACGTTTAAAGCATGGGCCTGCTGAGCAGTGTAACTGATGAGTCCACTAACAGGCCCCGGATGGAACGTGCTTCCCTTTCCTTTTCCTTCTCTCGTTTCCCTTTCTATTGTTACGTCGTCGCAGAGTTTTACGACTGTTGGACACTGGTGTAACCGGAGGATAAGGTAGACTTGATATTTCGCAAGATGATTTATGATCCTACTTAGCTGCACGCGGATGAACCCCTTATTAAACGTTAGACAATTTCGGCGCGTGCTGAAATTAAATTTATGGAAAATTTTATTCCATAATTCCAAGTTTCTGTCACATGCTAGTTAGTCTTCGCTCAGAAGCGGTAAAATAGCACCAAATTCCTAAGGAGATGGGAGACTCCATAACACGCGAACAGTGTAGTAGGAGAAACAGTGAAAGTATTTTATTTAAATAAATAGCAGCGTTTCTAAAATTTTTAATTACATTTTCTACGTAATTATAACAGCATTCTATATAATACATAGTAGAAGAGCACTGATTGCTATTACTATTATGCTTGTCATACCATCATTCGTCAGATTTGCTACTTATTGTCAAATTATGTCAGAACAGTGACACACGTTCTCTCATAAATTGGCGCGAAATTTAAATATCAAGGATGCAATTTTACACTGAAATCCCATATCACCTGTTGTAATAAATTGTAAGCTTGCAACGATGGTGTCAGGTATATTGCAAGTCAATAATGATCTTTAGGTTTAGTGGATTCTTCCCTACTGGGCAGCCATGTTTCGGATTTTAAGTTTATAAGGGCCCCCTGTTTTCTAGAAACTGCCAGTCTTAAACACGGTATAGTATAAAAGGTATTATTGCAACTCACAAGGACACGCACATTCCTTCATATCTTAATCAATAGTTCCCCACGCAATTTAACCATTTGACCATTCCTAACAGCTTTGAAATCCATGGACGTCTGCAGGAGTGAAGGGTTAATTATGCTGTTCGATTAATTTTCTAAGAAAGAGTTGGATTTGGTTTTCTCGTTAGTGATGAAAATTAGTGATGGAAATTAGTGTTGCTAGTAATGAAAATTGCGTTGGAGGAAAATTTTTGCTGGCTACCTAATTTATTAAAATTTTCAAACGAGACAAAATTCCAGGGAGGGGGTTAAGGTGTATGAAAAGGTTAATAAACGCTGCAATTTCGTTGGAGAAATTACTGTTAGTGGTGGATGAAATATTAATAATAATTAGAACAATTCATTATTTAATTATATAAATAATCAAAACACAAATATTAAATTTAAATATAATTAATTTATCGCAATCGCATGCTCACGCGTCTTTTCGCTATTAAAACTCAATTGCAACTGACCTATGCCAAATCACTCTCGTTTTCTTCTTTCTTCTTTCATACATTACATTACATACTCAATTCACACATCTCAGTTCACATCATATCGTCCCTTTCTTACACACATTGCTCCTTTATTATATCAACACATATATATTCAAAATCTATGTTAACCATTACCACACTAGCCTTATGACACCGAGATTAATGAAAATATTCGAGTCAAATAAATAGTGACATTTGTCAACTGTATAATGGCATCATTTTTATTATAATAATTGCAATTTAGACCATGTTGTTGAAGATACCAGTAATGGTTGACGATGTTAGTTAACCCTTTACACTCGAGAGGCAACTCTTAGCCGCCATTTAATCAGATTATCAATTAATATCTCAAATTTAAAATTGCCCAACGAAGCGTGGAATATCGAGGTAAAATAATTCTACATCTTACACATATATGTAGGATCGGGATGGGTGGATTGGCCAAAATAGCGTTGTTTTACTTCTTAATGGAATAAAATAAGCTTATACGTAGATTGACGGCTATGAAACAAGAGGGATTCGCTATGGGCACGTTCGACTTCTTACTCACATACTGACACTAGCTTAAGAACTCTTAAAGATTGTTAAAAGACTGGAGACTGTAGACTGACCCTGTCCGCGCTTGCACCCTTGTTTAAAGCATTCATTCTGTCCTTTTCCAGACCCAGGTTTTCCTTTCCAATCATGCCCCTTTCCCACGCAACCTCGGTGGGCCAGGTACTTCAACCACTCTGGACGCATCCCTAAATTTTCACTGGACTCTACCATAAACATTCTTTGCAGTCAATCCTCTTGCACATGGTCACTTTCATTCTAAGCCCAAACACACTTGACAATCTTTCAGGGCCGTACTTATTCCAATCCCACGTATATATTTAAAAATCTATGTAACCATTACCACAATTACATCACCGATAATCATACAAACTTGGCGATACGTTCCCTCAACACGGGTCATCGACGGGGCTCTAAACGCCATAAAGACATCCGCCAGCGGAGACACACAAAGGGCCAACGGAGGTGCATCCGCTTGAAGTTGAACTTAATTAAAAGCAACGAGGCTGGCACAAGGGCGCGCTTGGTCCCTCGTTTCTTTCTTCTTTTCCCAATACACTCGAGCTTTTTAATTCAGTCTCGAGACGTCTGATCTCGCCCTACGTCGCCACGAATGCGCGTCGCGGAGGCCCCGGCGAGACCTTTCTCATTATTTTCCATCTTCCCATTGTTATCGCGCGACCAAACAAAGGTGCACCGACGCAAGGCCAGGCAAAAAGGCCATAAGACGGGCTTTAATGGCCCTGGCGTGGCGCCAAATCGCGTCGCTTCGGGCTTGAATGCACCGACCCGCCGATTGAAATGTTCATTACCACCGCAAATCATCCGACGATCCGCGACCGACAGAACCATGGGATGTTCCTCATAGAGGTACTCGCTCGTGGCCATCCGTGGATCAATGGCATACGAACGATTTAGCAGCGGAAGATTTTTCACCGACGAAGAATCAGTAGAGCTTCTTCAATCTCGCGTGAAAGCTGTTTTCTTCGTTCCACGAGAGGCTGTGATTGCGGATTGTTGAAGATCGTTGCATTTCTTCCAGAGAAGTTTCCACGAGTTCGTGAATTTGCTTCTCTATGGGATTTTTTGGATAAGAAGTTTGATTTTTATTCGTTAAATTGTGCACAGTTTTCGAGAAAAATTTACAATCGCTCGGTAACATACTGTAATTTCGAATATTAAATATAATATTCTTTTATCCATTGGATTTTTAACCCCCTCACTCCTGCAGACAACATGACAGCGAACTGCGAACGCGATACAACGTCCATGGATTTCTAAGCTGTTAGAGCTTAGAAAATTCTTTCCGAACGTGACCCAACTGTTCCGACCTGTCCTGCCAATTCTTAGGATAAGAGATAAATTTTTTTCAATACAATCCCTGCATCATTTTGCCCCCTGTCAAAAATTGCGAGACTATGTATTTCACGTCTGTGCGCACGTGGCGCGCACCCCCTTGGCCCGAGATTTTTCCTCCGCTGTCAGGGTTGCAAATAAAATATTTAGCGACTTCTGAACTTCCGTATTCATCTGTATCACCTCGGGTAAGCTTGTAATGCGTGATGTTATATTTCGATTAAGTTTTTATTAGATTTAGACAAAAATAAAATTTGTTAAATTAATTCAGGACGGGACGTTTGCTACCCTGTTTATAACTCGGGAGTGAAATGGTTAATATATGTAGAGGATTATATTTATTAAATCCCCCGAAGATGAGGATTTTGAGATTTTAGGAGAAATAGATAACAGGTTTATTTCATATAGAAGATATTGCTCACGATACTGTCATGACTGTCATTCCAAAAGAATACTAGTCTAGCCTCTCCACGACAGCTATTGCCTACATACGTACTTTTCTTACACCCTATATACCCTTACACATTCATTCTCTTTCACTCTAATTATCCACCTCGTTTTATTTTACTATACGTGTACTATAGTTGTCAGAGTATAGATCCAACATGCGAATGTATTTGTCAAACGTTTACGATACAGGCATTCTAATACCTTAATAAGCGACTTCATATACACCATAATCGAGTAATCAAAAGCATTTCGAGATTAACCGTATGGTAAAGTTTCCATCGAGATTAGCAGTAAGCAGAGGAATATATAAAATGCGGAGTAAAATAATTTTTAATAGCAATTTACTTGTTGAAAATTCTGCATGCACGTAATTTTTATAACACGGAACACGCCTACTTTTCACAAAGAAATATCTGTATTTGCGACGGTCGCCGTAATTCCTTTCCAT